GCTTCGTCGCCTGCAGTCACGTTGTGGGCTTCGTCGCCTGCAGTCACAATCTCCACTTCTTTGGCTTCTACATAAACATTTTAGTGCAAACCCTTATTCTTGCCTTTTTATTCCATTTAACCATTTTAGACTTTTGCTTTATTTTTATGAAGTGCTTGAGTAGTTCATCCAATAACCCAACATCCCATTAGTTTACCTTTAGCTAGTATGCGAAACTTTGAATCCAAAGCCTTTAGAAACATATTGCCATGTTTTAGAGATTGGTCATTGGCTGACAACACTACATGAACAGAGGCATGTTAGTTTAAGGCAGTATTACACCATTGATATTTAAACACGACTTACCTTCCTTATGATCAGCCCATTCCAGTTTTGGATCAATTGGCAAACATGACCCTGTGGACAAAGTACTTATTCAGAAGCTTCTGCATCATCATCATCATCAGGTCAGTGTATTTGCAAGGCCGATTACTATTTTCTTGTGTTGGTTAAACAGCAGGTTGTAAAAATCAGAAGTCAATAAAATGTACATAAATCATTTAAAATATCTGGTAAATACTACTTTTCCATATGCTTGAAATAAAATCTCTAAGCAATCATACATATTTTCTCCTACAATCTTTTTCTTTTGATGGGTAAAAATATTCTATATTTTTTCCCATCCTCACTTTAAACACAAGTCCCAACTTTAACAACTAAAATTCACTACATAATTCAAAGGGAACAAAATACAAACCTTCATTGAGCCACACTGCCACTAGAGAAATTACCAAGAACCAACTGCCTCCCATGGTTCTTGATGCTAACTGTGAGAAGGGGACAACATTGAGGTTTAAAAACTATTCTCCCAGTTTTACAGCTGTAGCTCATCAGCTTTGATTAGTTCTCTCTTCAGAAATGTGTTCTTCTTCAGGCTTCTTTGGTGGTTGCCAAACAACAATTTGGTGCATTACCACCACCGAGTGGTAAAAAGTGTGGATTGGAATGATGCAAATATATGAATAAATAAAACAAACACATGTCCTATCAAACAATCAATGTTTAAGATAATGCACTAAATCTGTATGATTTTTATTTATTTATCTGTAATTGTTCAGTAGGATGTAACCTCACTTTCATTTTAGTAAGACTGTCAGTCAGTTGAATGTTTTTCCATGTATGGTTTTTTTTTGCAAGTACTGTATATTTAAATATGCTCTAGTCTCATATTTGCCACAGAAGTCACATTTACCTATAATCCTGATGCATGCTCAATAATCCAGGTAGAAAAATCTAAAAAAGTTAACTCTGGTCCTCTGGACATAAAAAAAAAAAAAATGTAGAAATGTTTCGTCTTTCATCTGAAAGACTTCCTCTGTCTGAGGTGCTGTATTCAGCTCAGTCTCATAAATAGCAGCTTATCATAGTGGATCAACCCGTTTGCTGCTGACTGCCAAACCAGCGGCTCACATAATCACGGAGGACCATCAGCCTAACAATGGATCATTAGCACATTGATGGCTGTTTGCTAATCACAGGTGGCTGAGTGATACTAGCAATAACAGCATTGTAAGAGGGGGACAGTTGAACATGGAGGCCTCCACCCTGTTTAATGATGGATGGTTTCTTTTCACAAAGATGGCCTCCTTTACTCCTCTCTCAAACCATCGTTCCTCTCTATCAAGGATATGAACATCTTCATCCCTGAAAGAGTGACCGCTGGCCTGGGGATGAGTGTAGACCGCAGAGTCCTGGCCTGATAATGTTGATCTTCTGTGCTGGGCCATCCTTTTGGCCAGTGGCTGTTTAGTTTCCCCGATGTAAGACTGATCACAGCCCTCCTGACACTGAACAGCATACACAACATTACTCTGTTTGTGCTGGGGGACTGGATCTTTGGGATGAACCAGTCTTTGCCGTAATGTATTTTGGGGTTTAAAAGCCACTGGGACGTTATGTTTAGAAAATAAACGTCTCAGTTTCTCTGATACTCCCTCAACATTGATTGATTGATTGATTGATTTTTTATTGTCAATTCTGCATATGTACAGGACATACATAGAAATTGAAATTGCGTTACACTCCTACTCAAATTGCAGCAAACAACAACAACAGCAAAAATAAACTAACACAACTAGTTATATAAAAAAAAAAATATATAAAAAAAAAAATAAAAAAAATATATATAAAAGTGAACAGCAGCAGGACCTCTGATGCAACGTGCTCAATAGTGACTAACAGGAGACAAAGGGACGCTGACTGAAGACAATAACATGATGAGAGGTAGATAATGGATGTGCAAGGCCAGAGTAAACAAGGTAGATAATGGATGTGCAAGGCCAGAGTAAACAATAGTGCAATATAAAGTATAAACCTGAGAAACTTAGTAAAGTGAAGGTGTGCATACCGGTTCTATATAGAGTCACAGTTATGTACTGATGAGGTGATTATGTGGAAATGACAATACCAGAATTACCAGAATAAACAGGACGAGTTGATCATAACAGTAGTGCAAAATATAATGCAATAAACAGTAGAGTGAGCTTGTAGGCTGTTAAAGTGACCGATTCATGAACTATTCATAAAACTAAATAAATGTCCCAGAGCAGTTTTGAAGGGGGGGGGTGAGGGGGGGTGTCAGGAAGCTGAGTTAGTGTGTGCAGGGTGGCAGAAGTGGGAGAGGGGGCTGAGGGGGGGCAGGCAGAGAGTTCAGCATCCTCACGGCCTGATGGACGGAGCTGTTCCACAGTCTGCTGGTCCTAGAACTGAGGCTACGCAGTCTCCGCCCTAATGGCAGCAGGTTGAAGAAGCAGTGTAGCGGGTGGTCAAGATCTCCCACCCAGCAGAGGGCTTTACTTCTGAGGCGAGAGCTGTGGAGGTCCTGAAGGCAGGGGAGAGAGGTGCCAATGATCTTCTCAGCTGTCCTCACGATCCGCTGGAGGGATTTGCGGCAGGATGCTGTGCAGGCCCCGTACCACACAGTGGAGCAGCTCATCAGGATGCTCTCGATGGCCCCCCTGTAGAAGGTTGTCATGATGGGGGTGGGGGCTCTCGCTCTTCTCAGCTTGCGGAGGAAGTAGAGCCGTTGGTGAGCCTTTTTGGCCACTGCTGCTGTGTTGATGGTCCAGGAGAGGTCCTCAGAGATGTGCACACCCAGGAACTTGGTGCTGCTTACCCTTTCCACAACAACATCGTTGATGGATAGTGGAGCATGTTTTGTCTGAGTTCTCCTGAAGTCCACAACAATATATGGAATAACCACTGGTCTGGGTTCCTCCTTTTCACCTGTTGGCTGACTGGAGTCCTGTTTGGGTTTCTTCTCTGCTTTCAGGAAGGCCCAGTTAGGATATCCACATTGCTCTAGAGCCTGTCTTGTGTGGGATTTCTCCTTCTGCCTGGCTCCTGAGCTAGTGGGGACGCTGTCTGCTCTGTGATACAGAGTCCTGATGACTCCTAACTTGTGCTCCAAAGGGTGATGGGAGTCAAACTGCAAATACTGGTCTGTGTGGGTGGGTTTGCGGTACACCTCAGTTTGCAAATGTCCTCTATCAGAGACTGAGACCTCACAGTCCAAGAAAGCCAACTTGCCATTTTTTTCATCTTCTCGTGTGAAATTGATGTATTTATCCACAGAGTTGATGTTGTCAGTAAAATGTTGGACTTCCTGAGATTTAATTTTAACCCAGGTGTCGTCAACATACCTGAACCAATGACTTGGTGGTGTCCCTGAAAAGGACGTCAAGGCTCTCTTTTCTACCTCCTCCATGTACAGGTTGGCAACAATAGGAGAAACTGGAGACCCCATAGCACACCCATGTTTCTGCCTATAATATTGCTCCCCATATGTGAAGTAGGTTGACTGCAGGCACAGTTTCAAGAGTTGACACAGTTGTTCTGTGGAAAGCGTGGTCCTGCTGCTCAGAGTGGTGTCTGATTTTAATCTTAAACTGGCCACCTCTACTGCATTATCAACAGGAATGCACGCAAAGAGTGATGTGACATCAAAAGAGACCATTGTTTCATCAGTCTCCATGATGACATCCCTCACTTTATCCACAAAGTCCATGGTGTTCTGTATGTGGTGGTCTGAGCTGCCAACTAAAGGGATGAGTACAGACGCCAGATATTTGGAAACATTGTAAGTGACAGAGTTAATCATGCTAAAGATTGGTCTTAAAGGTACACCTTGTTTATGGATTTTAGGTAAACCATACAGACTAGGTGTGGCCTCCCCTGGGTACAGTCTGTGGTACAGAAAATGGTCAATAGCCTTGTCCTGCTCCAAAATTTTCAGGCAATCTATCAATTTCTTTTAACAAAGTCCCATTGAGAGTTTTTTCTTCAATTACATTCACACAGCAGAAGAGATTAGTGTGACTCAGATATTGTCTCATTTGAACCCAGCCTTAACTTTTTTAATGTCACTTTTTACTTTAAATTTTAGGGGCTAACATAGAAAATTGTCTATATGGTTGAGTTTCTAACTATATTAATAATTTTGTGTAATAGTTGAGTCTGGGGCTCTGATTATTTACCTATTTCAAATTCAAATTCAAAAATACTTTATTAATCCCAGAGGGAGATTATATGTTGTGGTAACTCATCATCCTGGTTTCATTAATGAGTTGTTCTAGATGCTGATGGCTGTGGGCAGGAAGGGTCTCTTGTAGCGGTCTGTCCTACAACGGATTTGAAGAAGCCTCTGACTGAAGACACTTTGTTGTTGTATGACAGTCTGATGAAGAGGATGCTGAGGGTTGTCTATAATGTTCTTCATTTTATGAAGAATCCTTCTTTGTACAATCATCTCCAAAGTTTCTAGAGGAGTCCCCAGAACTGAGCCATCCTTCTTTATGAGCTTGTTGATCTTTTTTAAGTCACTTGATCTGGTGCTGCTACCCCAGCAGATGATGGCAGAAGAGATAGCGCTCTCTACAAGACTTATAGAAGATATGCAGCATCTTGCTGCAAACACTGAAGGACTTCAGCTTCCTCAAGAAGTACAGTCTGCTCTGTTCCTTATTGTAGATGGCTTCGCTGTTGCATTTCCAGTCCAGTCTATTGTCCAAGGTATTTATACTTCTCCACCACCTCCACTTCTGCTCCCATGATGGAATAAGGGTTGGACCTGTTCCTGATTCTCCTGAAATCTACAATCATCTCCTTTGTTTTGTTCACATTCAAGATGAGGTGATTGTTTCCACACCTTGCCACAAAGTGGTCCACCAGTTCCCTGTACTCAGCTTCTTGTCCATCTCTGATACACTCGACTACTGTAGTCATCAGAATATTTCTGCAGATGACAGGAGTCTGTTTAATCCTTAAATTATATACAGGGGCGTGTTTGTGTTTACTTTATTTGTCATACTATATTCAATGTACAGCTCCTATCTGAACTGATAGGACAAACAAAAAAGCAGAACGATCAGCTGCTGTGCCAAGCACTGCAGATATAATAAAACAATTGCCACTTGTTATAAAAACTATAGAAAGGCTCCTGAATGCTGTAAACACAGACTGTTTGTATTTGTTTTACACATTTAATTGGAACATAAATCTTTTTTAACGGTTCCAGCATGAACCATATGACCTTAATTTAATGTGACAGTAAAAGATTTGATTCAGTGTCCAGATTATTAATGTAAGTTAGTGTAATGTCCTCTAAGTGATGGAAACATGTTTTCATAGTGTGTGTGTTCTTTCTGTTTAAATACGGATGTGTGTGTGTGTGGGGGGGGGGGTGACCAGCTGTGCCTTTGAAACTCTTAAATGCATCCCATTAGTTTGCTTCTGACGTCTCCTCAGGATATTTGGATGACCTTGGA